ATACATCACGTTATCATGTGACATCCGAGATGCCGCACATGTATTACGACTCGGTAGAGTTTACTAAGATGTTACACCTCGTATTTTGTGATTTCACTGCTTTCGTCCTTCAAGCGAAATACAGCAAAGTTGTTTAACGACTGAAAGACTTAGAAGCCTTTTTATAAAACGAATAAAACAAATATATTTTATATGCTAATATTAAATTTAAACAAATACTATAAAGAGATAAAGTTTGTGATATTGTAGGGGGTAGACAACGGATATACTGAAACGATTTTGATAATCTTTTAGTATTGAATAGCCCCTTTATCGAGAATAGCTATATGCTATATAACATTACGTTACCACCAATAGGTCGAGTATGAAGAGAGAAAAGTATGAATATAATTTTATATATATATTCAAAGAGATGATAACCCATAGGGATTATACACTTTTTATGCGGTTTATAAATAGCTCATCTGGAGAAAACATGATTGATGAAGGTAGAACAAGAATATTGGAGGATTAATCTAATTCTAAATTAAATAAAAATATACGATGTAATAAAATAAGCTTCTTTTTACTTTTTACTTAAAACATTTTTTATTGGTTGGTATTCAGTAGGTACCACTAACTATACTCCTAAATCTAATTAGTACAATTAGTTAATATAAAAAGATGTCTGAGTGCAAAATAAAATAGTTAAAAATTACAGTTAATAAATTTATATAACGTTTAAATACACATATATATATATAATGTTTAAATGTTAAACTAAAAGCAGATTAATTAAGAAGTAAATATACTAATAAATGATAATCCTTTTCATATTACATTTATAAAGGAAGGAACTTGTCATGCTTAATATATAATGAGGCCGTTTAATGACTTCGTCTGAAAGTTTAAAATTTTCGTAATTAAAATTTACGAAAATAGCTGGTATGTAAGAATACTGCCATTTCTTGTAAAATAAAACTTAATATATATCTCATGGATAATTTTTTTACTTTGGATTTCACTTTACATCTTTTCTAAAACCACTTTTGTGCCAACAAATAGATGCCTAAAATAAGTTAAAATTAAACTATAAACACTACTTGAGATTAAATTTAATTATAACCGAATTAAAGTTGATTAAAGTATAAATTATCTATATTATTTAGTCTTCCAAGTAGAGCGCGTTATCTGTATTCCGCTTAAATTAACAATATTTTATAGTGATTTACACTCAAAACTTAATGAATTTCTTATTGTAATAGACACTTGTTGTAAATAAGTGTTTTTTTAAGTAATAATAATATACTACCTAACCAAGAGGGTTAAATTTATATATAATAATATCCATAATGATCAATTAAAACATAATTATTTTTAAATTAATTGTAAATACTGTTTTCTGTAGGGGAGGCCTATGTCCAGCAGTGGACGTCTTCCGAGCTGCGATGATGATGATAATGATGACTGTTTTCTATGTAAATATTTGTAATAGTAACTCTCTCCTAAATAGTCAGGTTTTGGACTGTATTGGTGGATTGTAATTTGTAATGTTATTACATCTTACTAAAATAATTATACGGGGAATATTAAGTGAAATTCTTCTATTAATAAACATAAACCGACCTACAGATTATTGCGTAGCTGTAGTCCTGCATGGCAACATGTGTCCATTATATTAATTACTAAAAAAATTAAATATTTTATTATATTATATAAATATACATATAATGTAATAATCATTTCCTATAACAAGTCAAACCAACTTTGTATAGGCGTAGATTCGATCATAAATAACTTTCACTAACTTCAATGAGATAGTAGGGAGATACCTACTATAAAATAACACTATTAAAGATTACAAGATTATGATAAAAATATGTTAATTAATTAACTAATTCTGGTGCGCTCATTTACATTTATAATCTCGTTTAAAGTATGAGACTATCTTAAGCATATAATACAGTAAGCTATTCGAGACAGCCTCGGGTTCATTTTTATGCATATTCATTATCGTTGTTTTAGTAGTCATTTAGCGTCCACTGCTAAATGTACCCCTATAAACTACTTCAAGAGACGGTCTTGAGCCTTGGGCGTCCATCAAATTTCTGAACCACTTTTGCGGTCGTTGCACCGTCTAACTAGAGGTACTTGATATGTGGCGAAGGAATCTATCGATAAAATATGTATATCTGCATCACGCAGACCGGACGTTGCTGTCCTGAGTACGTAGATAGTGAATCAATCGCTATTCCGCGCATGAAATTGATCTAAACAGTAACATTCGACGACATACGTATTTGACCTTCTTATGCATGGCATGGATCTATTCCTTATCGACAAATCAGTTTGCCAATCAGTGTTGTTTGTTTTGGTATACAGATCTTCTAGAGTCAATCTTTGCTGCTTTACATGTGCGAAGTCTTTCTTCGTCTTTGGTCCTTTGAGCAGTACTTGGACTATTGTCATTGCAGGTTGTTGATCATTGTATTATAAATATTGGTCATACGACTATACCTTTTATTTTTAATTTTTTTATATACATTGTGAACAAAACTATTGTTCAGCACCTATTTTAGTTTTAGGCGTAATACTTTTAAGTGTACCAAAACGAAATTACTTTTTACATAGATAATAAGTAATTTTAAAACCTCTCTAGAAGTATTTAATTTGCTTTAACAGTACGTAGACTGCATCTATTCTGTGTTAACGGCCTGTGAAAGTTAAATAATTATCATTTCTTACGTAATCGTATTTTGTATAGTATGTTTCTGCTAGAAATGAAACACCTGACGGCCTACCGGATGGAAAGTGGTATCTGTCGCCTACGAAGATAAACAACATCACTGGCATCATAAAATATACTGCGTCGCGAGTATATGTACGTTGCCACTTTTGAGAAGTACCTAATAGTTTGAAATGTACTTAAGTTCAGAAGTTCTTGTTTTAATTATCTTACTTAGGTTATGTTACCAAAGAGAACGAAACAACAATGCACACATTGTGATTACAATGAAAGGAATCACATCGACAACTCATTAATCCTATTACATAATATGCCAGTCATATTGCAACCTTCATATTTGTTTATACAAAACTGTTATTAAATATTCAAATTTTATTATTTCCAATCTAGTTTTAGAGTTCATGCTATCTTAATGCTATATTTAAATTATATTTAATTAAGTAGCGCGTATACACATATGAAAAACAACATAAAATTCTAATTTATTAGGCCACATTCTTCTCACAACATTGAGGATATTGATGTTAATAAAAAGTGTAGTATAAATAATGTAGATGTTAATTACATGGATTTTTTACAAATCACAACACATTCAAAAATAGAGATAATAATTTAGTTATTTAAAACAAGTAGCGTTTAATTTTCTTTAATTCTAAATCAAGAATCTTTTATTCATATGAAAAACCTTAACCTTATGCTTGTAAATATTAGGTACATTATTCTTAACATAGCCTAATTGTAATTAAAATAACTAACTGTTGGGTTCGGAACCTATTGGCTCTTTTTTCTGTTCTGTTCAGATCAGTTCTATGAATATTTGCATTTGTGGCTATTTAACTTACAAGAGGCTCAAAAAAAACAATATAAATAAGCATATAAGAATCGTAGATAGTTTTTATATGTCTTGTATACATGGAAATACTATACAGTCTATAAAAAATCAATAGAAATTACAACGTAATCCGTGAAGGACGGCCGCCATTCGGACCCACTTTTCACGGTCTTCTAACGCGTTAAAATTTAAATGCTTTGTGACGAACCTAACAATTCTTTTCTCAAAACGTCTAATAAATTATACATGAAGTTTAATTCTCGACGCGAATTGAACCCGGAACTCGAGACAGAATCGCGCCATTGAAGAATACCATTAGTACCCAATAGAAATTCATGTCCCACCGAATTTTAATAAAGTCCACTATAAATTATATAACGAGGCGGAGCGTTTCACCAAAACCGGTTATACAATGACCTTAAAAAAGTCAACAAAAGGAAAGTCTTGATATCCCTTATGAAGGAATGCGATAAATATCCATATTTATACAATAATCGTGATAGAGAAACCGAGTTTCAAGTTTGTAATGTCGGAATGTTATAATCCACATTTAAACTTGGGCTGACCGTGTGACCTTCACATTTAAAAGGCAGGTGTAGATATTCGTCCCATAGAATTAATTGGATTTTCATAATTTTAATTTTATTATTTTTTATGTCTTTTATTAATTGAAAATAAGTAGCTTCTATATTTTTCAGTAAATAATTAACAAAATTTATAATTTAAGTTATACGTATTTTTATGTATCAAAATTAGATTTAAATAGTTCAAATAAAATTAATTATTTTTTTCATAATACACTAATTCAGTAAATGGTTTGAATTAATTTATATATTTATTATAAATTTACTTTATCTTATTATATTCGTACCTAAATGCTTTGCATTAAATTAGAATTAAGATAAGCATATGGGTAGTGGTCATCTAATATAATAAGATCCTAAGATAATAATATGCGACAGGCTTTAATGTGAATGACGCAAAATATAACTATAAATAATAAGGTAAATATAAAGCCAACATATCATTTTGTCAAATAAAGAAATCCAATTCTAATGTACACCGAAATTATAGCAAAAGTAATTCTAAAATAGCCCTGGGCTAATTCGTCGAATTAGAGCCGATTACCAAACATCAATGTCACAATATTTTTTCTTAGTAGCTATAAACGTATCTGTATTAATGACATACACTTAATTTACATCTATATATTTTTATAGAAAATATAATGAATCAATTAAGAAAAGAAAAGTTAAAGGCTAAATCGGAGTTAGACAATAGTGTGGTTTATCTTCCATAAGTTTGTGAATATTAAAGACCCAAAAAAACTTTCACATTTGACACTGGCACTTTGATTGATCATTTGAAATCATTGAGAGATAAAATTACAAGTTTTGATGGAAAGGCAAAGTTATCTTTCACAGAAAAAGAATAAATTCTTACCTTGTATATTCCATCTACAAGTTTCGTAAGCTCCTCCGTCTCCATGGCGAGAGATTTTCAGAAAACCAATTGCGAGAAGCGTCGAGTTACACGTGAAACTTCATCGGGGAAATAAACAATATTTACACACGAACCAACATAGATTTTATCACTTTGGACACAAAATTCACATTTCAATACACAGTTCGTCCGTTACTTTTTTTACTTTTGTTCAGTCAAACCATTCAAGCAAACAAACTCACTTTCGAAGACATCTGAAACAAAAGAAAACATTATTAGCTGTTTGTATATAAGAAACAGAAAGTGTTAGGTAATTGATAAAAATATTTGTCTTGTAGTTTTATTTTTCGTTCCAAGTTAACGTAACTTTTCGAAACACCTGTACCTATTTAAGATAATATCAGAGTTGAGAAGCGTGCGTCCGGAGCGAGGCGTGCCACTCAAGTCGCCTATAGCCTCCACTCGGCTATCTCACGAATGTCGATGTTTAGAAATACGTAATAAACGAGCTAGTACGATCTCTATGGCCCGTTGAGGCGTTGATGTCTAAACCGTGTGCTTACTGTTATGCTGGATGCCTAAATACTCGTTTTGGGGAATCTTTACACTGAGGACATTTCGAAACCGTTTCGGGTCAACGACTTTATACGATTATATTGTGACCTTTAATACCATCTTAAAAATTTCATTAACATTATTTAATTTTATTATTAGAACTCAAAGTTCACTCAGAATGTTAGCTTTTATTAAAAAGGCAAGAATACAGGTCAGGTATTATTTTTCAATTGACGAAGTTACGAATTAAATTACGATATTTCTTAACATAATTTAGTAGATAATACTTGAAGTTATCGATTAGGTATCCGAATTCGTGACGAAAAGTATTACGTAATGATTACAATTACAAAACTAAAACTCTATCAATGTCACAATTGTGTCACTGGTAATTTGATACTTACCTCCCTACCTACATGCAGTTTGCATAGCAGGTGTTGCATATACCTTGATAATGTGAATACAATAGATAATAATATTATGTTGGAATATGTTTTGTTAACTTTCGTTTTTGTTGACGCCCACCTTAATTCCAATCAAGGCCTTTGACGAATAGTTCGCCTGGAGCGAATTTAAAAAATGTCCGTCATACGTCCACACCTGCACTTTTACTTTCTTTTTCTTAGTTGTAATCCCATAAGCTATCTGATAAATATGTATATTACATATTACTAAAACATCGTATTATTATTCAGACGGACTATTCATGTAAATTATTTATATTATAACTTCGATCATCAATAGTGCCTGAATTTCAAATAATATAAAATTATGATTCTATTTTTTATATCAGTGCCTACTTCTAGTTGTAGAACTCTTTTCATATTGATAATGTAAAATAATATTTTAATGATTATAAGTTATAAATACATTAGCTACAAATAAAATCAAAAAGAATAGTATTCTCTATTTTAGCGGAACGTCCCGCTATCCGCATTTAATAAAAAGGAACTATCTGGAAGTTTTTCATGCGTCATATGTCGAGGAAAAATATAAAACACAATTTCTGAACGAATCCGTAACTTCATTTTGAACCGGAGAGATTTGCGCGGCCGTCCCGCCCAGTTCTTCCCTTGCATATGCAGCTATTCGGATAGTCCGCCACTTTTCTTTCTTTTCTCGCGTCCCTCAGGCGTGAGGAAACAAATGTGCGATGGCTGCTTATTTCAGTTGGAACTTGTTTAGCTCGGATTGAACTTGTTGGATCCGGATTTGGGAGTTGAAGACCTCGTAAGTAGCAACATGCGAGTTCAGTTGCAAAGTGGAAATCAGCAGAGATATCTAAAAGCTGCCTAAGTTTTTACTTTTAGGCTTACGAACGCTGCGAGTTCTTTTAAAGTTTATAAGTTTCTTAGGGGTTTTCTTTTTATATAGATGTTATAAAGGGCTTATTTAACTTTGTTAGGCTAAGGGAATAAAATCGCAAAGTAGATATGTGCCAAGTAACAGAACAAAAGAAAATAGCGGGGCACAATCTGCTCCCGCAGTGCCTACGTGGTAGCAGGCGACTGCCGTTCCATTTTGCTGACGAACCTTGTTATCGTGAATATAATGTGCGACTGCATACTGCAGTTGAATATTCATATTCTTGTCTGACTTTAGCACTACATAAATCGAATTTACTAGACATAACATAACATTATACTTAATACTGTTAATATTAAGCTAAAATATTTTTTTTTATTTTATGTCATATATATTGTATTGTATTGTATGTCAAATATTTATTAAACCAATTTCAACTACTAATAAATTTTATTTCTTAGCTAAACATAAATACAAGTTAATTTCCTAACCTGAAAAATTTATTAAGTTTAATTATTCGATTGAAAATCCGCTATTTCTATATAATTGTTAAGTTTGTTTGTAACTACATTTCGGTAACATTAGTATTAGTAGGTAGGTATAGACAGAAATTTAAGTTAGTTATCATATAAATTCATAATACATAAATTACTTTCAAAATATTTTTTAGCGTCAGAATTACACTTTTCAAAGAAATGTTCCGTGCCAATATACACTTACGCTTTGAATATAGGTACGTCCAAGCTAATGGAATATCATTTCTCAATCACATAACTAATTGAAATAATTTAGTTCCTTAACATCTTACGTATATAAACGAATGTACGAAATCATTCACCTGTCAAGCGCACATGTGGACTTGCTCATAATGAGATTTCCATTCACTCCAGGGAAATTTCTCATAATGTACGGACCTATGGACCTACAGAGACTCTTTGAGTGACGTTACATCGTTTCAATTATTCAGGAATTTCAGGATCATTGATTATCGAGTATTACGTGTCGAGCAATAAATGTACTATGAGGGATTTCTGTACAAAATACTTAACAGTTACTTTATTCTTCATAAATAAATTAATCATGAAGTATTTCATTTTAATAACAACTATGTGACCTGGTGAATTTCTATACACCTGATTTCCACCGCCCATAAGCACCCGCAACACCCGGGGAATTACAAGTGTGTTGTCGGCCTTATCAGAAGGAATTATCTCTTTTCTTTAAGGTTTTATGTACAATAAATTAGTATAATTGACATACATTTTTTACGTATGTCTTTTATATAATTATACTTGAACTTAATTCATTAAATACGTTATAATCATCATCCAGCCAGTCCTTTAGACCCATAGTAAGCAGAGCTTTTGTTATGGGAACTAGACAACTGATATAAATACTTAGATTTTTTCGTAAATACATACATAATATACATAGAATACAAACAATCATAGTCATGAATACAAATGTTTGCATCGTGCGAGTAATAGAACCTGCAACCATCGGAAGTAAACCGGCGTACTAAACCGTTAGATCACCGAGGCCATCAATGAAGATTTATATGTATTATATATATAATATATATTTTACTTTGTACTTAACCACTAAAAATAATAACTATCATCACTAGATGGACAAAACACGAACGTAAAATGTAAATGAGATTAAAGTTTACATAAATAATTATACTATAGAATGACTCATTATAATTACTATTTCGGTATTTTAAACTTCTCATTGACTCTTCGATGTTCGTTGGCACCAATACTGATTCGGATAAGTACCTGTGTTCGGCCAAGCGTGGGCAAGTCGATTGTTACGTAAAGCAGATGCATGAATATATTATTTCTGGAGCTTGGCAGCGAAATATAAAAACTACGTAGCGATAGTTGCAATTTAAAAATAATGTTTGTAATGTCTAGACAGAATGCGTGTGGTTGACATCTCTACTTTTTATAAAAAGTAACGCTGTAAGCTCTGATCTTTGAATCGCATCTGCTAGTAGCATCGTTATTAACAAGCGTTTTTTTTTTTGTAAATATAAAGACAAACAGCCCATGTTCTTTATGGTAAGTAATCTTCCTCTATATACATAACCAGCAGCACAGTCATCACGTCGTAACGCAAAATCCATGATACATGTCATGCGTTGCCTTTCTGGATGAATGGATGAATAAGGTATTATGTCTATGTACCTGTAATTTCCTTAAGTCTTTGACGACACTTTTACGTAGCGTTCATTTGTATAAAATAGTTATAAATGGACATCTATTATCTTTTTATCAATCGCTGTAACAACTCATTAATGACAAATTGTACAAATATGTGTACGAGCCAAATCTATTTGTATTAACGGTAAATACAAAAATTTTAAAACAATTTTAAATATATATTTCTTTAGGTTCGGTACCTTTTTTGCGTTCTAATGCCTCTACGTGAAAGTAGAATTTACGCAACTTTCCACTTCCTGTTTCAATCTTAATTTAGATATAGATCTAAATTTTTTAGGATCTATTATATAATAAGAAACTAGCCATAAATCACTAGTCAATCTATATTAGAATTAATATTTATAACTGAATAATATACTGCATTAATTATTTTAAAGGGTGTAAAACTAAAAGCTAGTGATTTTAGTATTGGTGTTAACATACACCAATATCGTATTCATACAATTTACCTACCGAGGTAGACTTTATAAATTTTTACCTGTGTGAATGCCTCACTAACTTTATAAGGTGTGTTTCGGTTGTAAGGTCAGATAAGGCAATGAAATTATATAATAAAAGGCATGACATTTTATGTCTCTGGAATGTCAACTCTTGAGTGGTTTCGCGGATGTCACTTGATAACTATTCATCTATATAAGCGACGGTTACCACTTAGCATCAGAAGGTGGTAATTAAACGTTAGCAACATAATAGTTTACGAGCTGTTTGAAAAGTAAAAAGAATATTTCTATTCACAACATAACATTAATTTTAAATTGAAATTTCCTTCAGGATTTTGAACACAATTTCTCTACTGTGTGTTCAGCAAAGAGGGTTCTACTCTATTGTCGTATTTACTGTTAACGGTAATCTACGAGGATTTTTCGAAACCATTATTGCCATGACAACAAAGCGTAACATTGTGTCCAACCCCTAATACTCTAATAATGCCGTATTCAATACATTTTACTTACAGCATATAATACATTAAAGACTCTTCTACATTTGCTACAATAATATTGTATAACATCAGGATATTCATTTATTACAAAACAGTATTTACTAAAGCATGTTGAAAAAATATTTTGGTTGTCCCATAATGTTGGTTAATCTCGATTAAAATGCTAAATGAATTAAAAAACAACATGCCAATTAGAAATTGTCCTGGCGTGTTTTTTTTTTCATAT